AAAAAATATTTTTATTCTTTTTAAACAAAACAACACATACAAAACAAAGCAAGAGAAGAAAAAAGAACAACTTTCCTCCATTTCATCAAGCATGTCGTTTGGTTACAAGTTTTTGTGCATCAATTCTTAAGCTCAGGATTAACATCACTGGTTTACATTAAACATAACTAAATGTTTCACTGTTATTGAGCATTATGTGTTCAAATTACCATTAATATTCTTTCATTTGTAACAATCCTTATTTCCTTAAATCCATAATTATCTATCAAATAACAACGAGTCTTTAAAGTATTATAGTGTCACCTATCTCTAAGGAGAAAGAGCGAAGAATAGAAAATAGATTTTTTTTTTAAATCAACCTCTACAGATTCTTCAACTAAGCATTAAGCAGAAAAAGGAAATCCTTAACCGTAATTCCAACATTCAAATACATTTTTATGTCAACTCACAAATTGTGGGTTAAGTGTTATTATGCTGAGTTTGGACATCAGTCAAAACTGTTATCTTTGACTGGTTTAATTGGAGGACAACTGCCTATAGGAACAAATGAACTATATGCATTAAACATCCAACAATGTCCACAATTACATACCGCTTGTTGATACATTCTCTTCCAGAGAGGTTATACTTTCTGGACTGTGGATTTCATTTGTTAACACCCCTGTCATAGAAAAACAAAGCATGGAGAAGGAAAAAGGTACTAAGTAGGTGAATCTCTCTCCCACTCTAAGGTTACATTTTCAACTGATAGTTAAACAGCAGCTTCATCCAGTTACCCCAACGCTACATTTAGTTGAGATTACAGGTTCATAAAAAGGGAGGGGTTTTGAATGAATACAGGTGACCATTTTAAACACTGAATAGTAAAGACTATAGCTCTGGATTGAAATGTTCAGTTCATGATGTTCTCTAAGACTTTTTTTTCCTCTTACCGCAGACATTTTATTAGTAGGCTAGATAACATCAGCAGTGCAATGGGGAAAATGTATTTGCTGGAATTGGTTTGCCATTGCTTGCTTCTTAGGGATGAGAAGGAGGGATTGGCCCATGGCACCCAACTAGCTTCATGCCTAAAATAGGCCTAGAACTCACAGTCTCCCAGATTCTAGTCTGCTGCCTTAACCACTATACTAAACTGGCTCTCTATCATATTACCTAGCCTGATAGTGAGACATCTGCAGGAAAGAGCCAAACTCAGAGAACACCAAGTATTTTATTAAATTATGAAAAGGTTGTATTAAATAATAAAGTGGAATATGTCCTCTCCACACACAATAACCAGACAGTTCCCCCATCCCACATTTCATTTCATTTATTGAATTTCTAGGCTGCCCAATCCCGAAGGACTTACAGAAATGAAAAATATTAAAAAGAATTAAAACAATAAGACACAACAAAGTTAAAAAGAAGCACAACATACACCCAATCAAAGGGGGGGCTGGACCTCAATCAAGAGGTCAACAGCCCCAAGCCTGCCGGAAAAGCCAGGTTTTAATAGCTTTACGGAAGGCCAAGAGAGTGGGTAGGGCCTGGATCTCTGGTGGTAGTTCGTTCCATAGGGCCGGAGCGGCAACAGAGAAGGCCCTACTCCGAGGTGTCGTCAGC